TATAAATCGAGACCATCGAATATCCTGCTTCCGGAGTTTTCTTTTTTGTATCCGAGGAAGTCCAATTCGGTAGACAGCACTAATGTGCATGCTTTCTTCTCAGGATGTTTGACCCTTCAAATTGTTGTCGGTTCCGGAAATTATTCGTCTCTATATGGGTTGAATTGAATTTGATGGAAAATTCCTGACTACCACTACTTCGTCCAGACATATTTTGCCCCTTATTATTCGTGAACCATGGATCAACCACCTCAAATTACCTTCTCCTGGGTCCTTTGCATGGTTGACTTGGCTAGAGCTTTCCTTTCTAAGGTCTTCTTACTGACAACTGACTTGCTCCAGACCTATCATCAAGTTCCGATGTCGTTTACGATCGTGACAAAAAATTACTGTTACTACTTCCATTCGACACTGAGAAACTCTTCCCCACTACATAGTAGCACATTCCTACCCGCCCTACAGTTGATGCGCTTCGAAATTATTACGGCATGCCAAAAGTTGCGGCTTGAAAGTCTGCAGACTGAGTGTGCAACCCGGCATTTGAAGTCCCAGTATATAAGGCGGCCTGTACGAAGTTAAGCTCAATGGCGTCTTTCGATTGTGGTCTCTTTAGCACTTCCAATTGTATGAAAACTTTGTCTGCCGTACACAGACGAGGTGTCTGCTGACTTTGTCAGCCACCACTAAGAGCCTGCGTCCGGCCTTCGTAACTCGGTGTTGCCGCCTGCTACAGGTTGGAGAGAAGGAGCAAATTTGGCGATATTGCGCAATTCATCAGAAAACTGAGTCTGTTTCAAGTTGTCTATCAGCAAATTCTACACGCCCAGCAAACCAACATGCGCACGAACAACATAACACAATGAGAGTCAGAAATTACACAATATCCGAAGTTATGAGCTTCTTCGTGAACTACAAACGTCTGAGTTGTTCTAAATTTCACTTAATTCAATAAGTCAGTTCTCGGAGAAACTTTAAGGAATGATGAACATTGTCAGCAACCCCAGTGTGAAGTACTCATTATATTTCACCAGTAGTCAGATTACTTGCAGGTGTAAGTTGCACCTTGATAAATTAATGTGAACAAAAACGTCCACGTCTGCCCCCTACGTAAAACCTCTCTTACCATCTGTCCGGCATTAGAGGCAACTGGGGTTTGACTATTTCCGGTGCGGCTGCAAGACCACATCTGGCCGTGAGTTTTGTCCGTTGCGCCTAAACAGAGCTCTTTTTAGTTGGCTCTCCTGGAGTCGGACATCGGTGCTTGACGTGAGACTCTGCCACAGTAATTGTGTTCCGTCGCCCACGTCCGCGATCTGCAGGGGCTCGATTCCAATAATTGCCAACTAGTTGAAGCTTTCAAATTCTGTTTCCTTATCCATGCGCCCGCATCCACTCCGAATTTATTTGTCCTCCTGTTTGCGGGGACAGCGCCCAGAGTTTAAGAATGCTTGTCTGAATTTCTTCTCGGTTCACCGCATCGTGAGACGTCACCAGATGCACCTATGAGGTTACTTGGTTGGTCCTTATTTGTTCTCATTCCTCCTGCAGATAAGCACACGCGTCTTGAGTCTTTGCGGAATTCCAAGCTATCAACACTGATGTGTTTGTTTCCATACTCTTTGACATGTTTCGGTAATGATCTCTAGCATGTCTACAACTTTGTCGCACTATGCACACGTTGAGACGTACTGGTGTTTACCAGACAACTACATGCATTTTGCATCCGATTCTATGACCATTCTCCTTCATCTTCTTTTAAGACCTTTTTATAAGCAAGAGGAATTTAAAGGCGTTCGTCCATTCTTCCTTCTATAAAGAGAGACCGAACGAAAATATGCTGTTAAGTAACACCCACCTTCGAAGTCCGACGGTCACGACTACACGCCGTCTTGACTTTCTCTCTGTGAATACTCTCCGCACGCTCTCCTCTCTCCGCGGTTTTTTGGCTGTCAGTTATCTTGCTGCAAACTACACCCTGTAGAGTTTTCCTGAGTACGCCAGTTTAATTTAGGTTTTGGTTTGCGTAGGACATGTCAGAAAAACAAGATGCTGAATTTACCTATGCTTTAAATATACCTGGGGTTAGGCCTGGCTAGTTGACGGTGGTTATTTAGTTGGAACGGGACACTTCAGTCTGCCTTATTTTTAACGATACCCCCTCCTCTGCACATGTTACCCAGTGATACAGGACTATCTGCGAGAATCATATAACGTACCCCAACACCCAAGTGAATCGGTAAACGCACCTCATACGACAGAAATTAGTACTCCAATTTCACCGTCCCTGTCGGAACACATCGTTGCAAACAATCCCAAGCGTTGGATCAAGATTTATTCAAAATGAACTTATTCATTAATTCCACATGACCGGACCTGTAGATGTTACTCATGTTCATGAACTACCTCCGAATGCTGTCGATCCTGCCGCAGGTACGGACCCCCCCCCCTCCAAAGTATGGAAGTGGCAGAATATTTCATATGAAACATCCAGTGCTGTCATAAGCTCTACGACAGGTTGCTGACCGTTCAGTGAGCAGACTAAGCAAATGCTGTTGCCACAGTTCGAAAGGGTCTTCATCGTATCTACTACTTCACTGAGGCTTGAAGTTGAGTAAGTTTCGGACCAAAACTTGTGCGTTGCCCAGCTTGCACGTAAGTACTTCTTGTCCTCAGATATGCTAGAAGAGCACATGACCTGAAAAAAGAAGAAAAATGATGCGGAAAATCAGAGTATTAAGATTGCAGACTGGTGTTAACACCGCAGTCCTTGTCTCCGTAAATTTGTTTTCACATTCGCAACAAACCTTCACATATGATGTACATACGTGTTGCTCATCCCCAGAATTTTTGGGGTGGCGAGAGCGACTCTCGTTCATATTTGCCAACAGGTGACAACTGAACGACCATATCCAGCCAATTTATCATTAGTGACACTTCAAGCTCAGTTCCCTCACTCGAGATTTAAATCCGAATCAGGTGATCATCGCGCATCGCTTCCACCACATCATTAGCAGGCCCGTGTAAGGTTGGCTGAGATGTGAAATATTTGACAGTTCGACAGTCAATTCCGACGACGCCCGCCGTGGGCTCCACTGAAAGTTGAAGCAGGAACGGTGACTTGCATGTGAATTAGTTCATAGTGATAGTGGACTTGCGCAAAATCTACCGCACTCCCTCCTTCACTACCTATGCTCGGTGTCAATACAGAATCAAGTTGACCGTAAGGGGGTGGCACGGTCGAGCCCACACCTTGTCGTTTCACTCCACACCCCCTGCCCCACAACATACACTTGACCACCACCAACAACAACAGCAACACACCAACAGGTGTCGGAAGGACGAGGAAGCGCAAGCGCAAGCCTGCTACCACACAGCAAGTGACCAGGATTTTTTCGCAAACAGCAACAACAACACACCAAGAGGGACCAGAGCGACGAAGATGACTGTGCAGTCATGCCCACTACCATGTGTACATAGCGAGAACGCAAGCGCATCTAGCGGCAGGGGACCAGGTGTCATAGAACTGCCAGAGAATAACGGACTGTGAAGACCATGGTTTGCGGGTATTGGCATAACACACGCTTTCAGACGTTTCGACCTAGAGGGGCGAAACGTGGGCGCGCATTTAGATTGGGCCGTCACCCTGCAAGGTTGGGTAACCAAAGTCGTCGGCTGAGAGGCACTACGCATAAAGCAGACACACAATAAGTCACCTCGCATGCATAAGCGTGTCACGGATCGTTTGAGAAGAGGCCACGACAGCCTGGATCTCAGTTCGTCGGTCCGCCGCTCTACACAGCACACACAACTGAGCAGACTGCGTGGACCGATTTGGGGGATCAGTCGGCTGCCTCCCGAGTCACAGCGCTCGATGCGACCTCTTCGTTACAGACTCTGATCTCACATGCACAGGAGAGCCGAGACGCACAACTCCCACTTGCGCGGGAGGTGACAGTTGGGTGCTTGCGATGGGTGGTGTTGATGTGCGGTGAGATGCTGGTGAGGGAGGATGCGATGGTGTGATGCAGCCGACGGTTGTCTACCGCAGGTTATCGTGGACGCGCGGGTGGCCTAATAGACTCATGCGATGAATAAATAAGCTAGTGAAATGCGGACAGTTGAGACGGATGCGGCGAGAGTAGGTTGGTGCTCAAGACACCGGTTTGCCAGTCTCTGTGTCATGGATTCGCAAGTGACCGACTAGGCCGCTGCGTGCGGCGAATGTATGGGTCAGTGTGGACATGAGAAGTTGACGGTGTCAGTATCAGCTTCGGTGATGATGCAGCTGGTGGTAGAGGGAGCATTGGGCGGCTGAGAATGGGTTTGGCTGAACACGCTGGGTGTGCAAGATGTGCTGAGTATGATGTAGCTGGTGGCGATGGGTCCGCTTGGAGGTGAATTGTGGGCAGGGCTAGGCTTGGTGAGCGTGCTGGATGTGCTATGTGTGAGGGAGTTGCGATAGATTCCACTCTCGTGGATACGCATATGGCCGAATAGACTCATGCGGTGCATGAATATGCGAAAGCAGTGTTGACAGTGGAGGCGGATGCGTCGGTTGTAGGTTGGAACTCTAGACACTTGTTCGCCAGTCTCTTTGCGATGGATTCGCAAGTGACCGACCAGGTCGATGTGTGAGGTGAAGGTGCGATTGCAATGAGAACAGGTATAGATCAGGTCCTCATCGCTGGTGTTGATGGTGATGGTGTTGATGTTTGTTAGTGTCAAAACTGCGTGAATTGTTTATGGGCATGGCAGACGCCACAGCGGCAGAAGTT